AGATAGATAGATAGATAGATAGATAGATAGATAGATAGATAGATAGATAGATAGATAGAGCTTGTGCCGTATAGATAGCATTCGATGCGGCTTGCTTTCAAAATGGCGGCTGTGTTTTAATAATTCAAGCTCACCGCAGGAGGCCTCTCTTTGATGTTTCACTTTGAAGAACTAGTTCATCCCCTTCCTTCACTCTGTTCGCCGTCTCATGGGTCCGTCACCTGTCACAAAGTCGGCCTGTGAAGCTCATTCCTCCTTATCTTTACTCACACTCTTTCTCCTCTTTCATCAAAAATGTTCCGTCCTTCCATATCTCTTATTTCCGCTTTGCATGGAGTAAATATCTCGGAGCTCTCGGCTACGTGTTTTCTTTCTCTCTTTCTCCGTCTGTCTCCCACAAATTTACATCCCAGCGTATCAGATTTGAAGGCCTGTGCTTTTAGCCTTTAACTGTTGCAAAGATTATAACAGCATTATTTATTTATGACCAGTATGTTTTCTTAGAAACTGCTGCTATTTGCGCATTTCAAAGCTATGGTACAGACTGATACCATAAAAGGAATAGTAAAAAAGGATGTGTCTTAACTGGTTTTTAATCTTTTCATTTATTTTATGCTGAATTTTCCAGCAATGATCAGCGGAACGGTTTCAAGGAGCAGTTATAAGTTTAGATGCAGGCGTCTTTGGCACTAATCTGTATTCATCTTTGGCTTTTTTAATGATGAACAGCCACTTTACCACACTGGAAAGATTATACAACATCTGACTCCAATATGTCCAAATACCAGCCTTAGAAAGTTGCAGAAAAACTACACACTTTTTTAGCCGACAACAAATGCCAGGCAAAATTCTGTCACTACATAAATATTCCTCTTGGCAGAAACGGTAGAAGTCAGTTATTTACTTTTTTCCAGACTTACATTTCAAGACATTACATTCCCAGTATTGTTGAGAATTCCAGTAGCTTAATAACTTGTTTTTTCCATCCAAAAGCTGGTTTCTGGGTGCCTGTGTGATAATTGTGTTGGTGGAACACCAAGCACCCAGATTTTACCTGCAGCTGTTGATTTGAGAAAAAGTTGAACAACTTGGAAGCAGTCCTCCTAATCTATCTACTGTATGCAGTGCACCAGTATAAAACCCAACCCTCAGCATGATGACACCACCACCGTGGTTCACAGTTTGATACCATGATCTTACATCTAATTCTTTGCCGTAAACATTTTCTCCAGAAGGCTTCTGGGTTGTGAATGTGGGCAGCTACATGTTTTAGTTCAGTGTTTAGGTGTCTATTTTAGATTAGAAATTTACTGATGAATTTTGGAGTTTATGACAGCCTTATAACAACTTGTGGTTCCAGGTTTGTTCCTAAACAGGCTGGCCAATTTCCCTCCACCGTTTGGATGAGATAAGAAAACTTTGACACAGTTCAAAGAAGACAATGATCACAAAATCACATTAAAGGTGGTTTTAAAATTGATAAACCGTATTAATATTAGGTTTTTGGAATTACTTTTAAATGGATGGATGTTTAAACAACAATTCATGAAGCAGCTCTGCCAGTTCTGATCATTTCCTACAGCTCGTTGGGATTCTGCAATTGTGGAAATTCAACAGTTGCCTGCATTTTTAAATGTTTTTTGCAACAGCGCATTATTTGTGAGTTTACTGCAGATGTTCTGCAAAGATGGTCAAAAGCATTGGGTTTGAAGGTGGCAGTATTTCTTACTTCTCTGCTCTTTCAGATTCATTTAATGTCTGTGCTTGATATCAACAAAAAATTAGCCAAGTACTTTTAAGAACAAGCCTGTTTGAGCGTCCAATCCGTCTCCTTCTGCATGCAGATTTTGCAAGGGGTTTAATTAGATAAATGAATTCATTAGATTAAAAATATCGCAAAATTCCTTGCAAATATTTCTGAAGCATCACCACAAAGTCAGTGATTTTGATTGCAAAAAGTCACAAAAACAATTGTGAAATCTTGTAGGGACTGTCTAATAGAAACATCTGTCTAATATATTGCCATAATTAATTCCATGAGTACGTAAAGCATGTGATTTGTCTGCAATTTGTACATTTAAACATTTGCACCCAGTTCTTGTTTATAAAATCCATTTCAGTTTTACATTTCATAATTTTACCCTGAAAAAAGAACCAGCTGAAATACTTGATTAAAAGCTCCAAGCTAACATGGAATCCATTCTCAGGGCGACTGTATGTAAACTCCTGACAGGCACTGTATACGTGCATACCAGAACAAACTAATGCGGTTTTTGTGAAAAGGCCTTGAGTGTCAACTTGTTCGTAGCACCAAAGTTGCCGTTGGCAGAATGAGCAGAGTGTGTGTGAAGTAGGAGCTCAGAAAGGACAGAAAGATCATCAAGTAACATTTAATTACTGACAGCCTCCGGGTCAATTTATTTCTGTATTTACTCATTGCAAAATATCATTAAACTCGAATGGAGCAAGTCTTGGCAAGCATGCAGTAAGCATAAGATTGAAGACCTACAGATGGAGGCTTTCTTCATAAAGGGGTAAAGGGCCAGGTGGCTCGACATCTGCACATGCTTCATCTGTCCAAGTTCCTCTGTTGTTTTAAGAAGGCAAAATATTCAGATATAATTATATAGCTAAATGCACCAAGTTTCTTGATACCAGTGGAAAGACAGAGCCCAATGTCAATCAGCTTTTATTTTACGTCTGCTGCTCTTGTTCTCATCAACTCTTAAAGTGATCTCTATTTTTATCTTTTCTAGGTATACTGTATAAGGGCAATGGCGAGAATGTCTTTATCTCCCAGCAGCCCGCTGTCATCAGCAGCATTATGGGTAAGTGTAGATTATTTTAACATCTTAACATTGTGAAAAGGTATTATCCTCCTTTGAGGTTTCTTATGTTTTTTTTTTTTTGTTGTTTTTGTTTTTTCCAATTTAATGTTTCACATCAGCAGGTAAATCTTAATATGGCCAAGATAACCGAAGTGAACACAAAAAGCAGTTTTCAAATGAGGCTTTCATTTAAGTAAAAGCTGAATATTTGTGAAATCATGTTAACTGTGATAAACTACATTTTTTTGAAAAGCTGAGGTCATTTCACTGTTTGACCTCTGATATGATAAAAAAAACTGTCTGGCAGCAAGCAATAGATGACAATATTAACTCAAAAAGTAATAAATCATGCCGTGAAAACAAAACACAAAGGAAGTGTACCTTCTAATCTCAACGCACATTAGCTGCATTTCCATTACAAATGTGTGTAAAACTCTGTTGGTGTTTAGCGAATGTCGAAAAGACACAATTTCACAATTGCAGCATTTCTATTAGATAGGAAACGCAATTAAAATCATGTAAACAAGTTTGTTCATTCAATAAGTTACTAAAATACATGCTGCGCCATGATCCTCTTACCACTTCCTGTCGTCTTTTCCACCAGCAGCAACATCCGGTTGTTGACTTCAACTTATGAGATGCGATGAAAGTGCTCCCATTGCAGTTTTGCTAAATTTTGATACAGCCAAAAAAAAAAAAAAAAAAAATCCCCTAATCAAAGTGAAAAAACTTTATATAGAAAAAAAAGAATTTTT